GTGAGGTAGGTTAGGCTGAGAGACTGAGACTGGCTCAAGATCATCCAATGAGCTTCATGACTGAGTGGGTATTTGAACCCTGATCTCCCAGGTCTAGTCCCACACTATGCAGCCACAGCAGTTGCTAGTGTAACCATGGCTTGGAGAAAGTGGATAGAGAAAACATCTCTTTCCCTCTTTCATGACACTAGAGACAACCAGCAAAGCTGAATGTTGGAAAATGTAGACAAAACTGTAATGCTTCATGCAGCACATGGGTAAACTATGGAACTCGCTCCCTCAGGAGGCAGTGATGGCCACAGACTTGGATGGCTTTAAAGGCGGATTGGACAAATTCATGGAGGATGAGGCTATCAGTAGCTACTAGCCACAGCGGCTATTCTCTGCCTCCACTGTCAGAAGAAGTAATGCTTCTGAATATCAGTCTCTGGAAACTGCAGGAGGGGAGAGTGCACTTGGATTTCCATAGGCATCTGGGTGGCCACTGTAAGAACAGGATGTTCAACTAGATGAGCTATTGGCCTGATCCAGCAGGCTCTTCTTATGTTATTTTCTTATGTTATTATGTACTGTTCTCCAAGTAAGCTTAAGTGCAGTTCAGAGGGTGCGAAGTCTTCTCACCAGGACAGATATTTCACAGCTGGCTCCCTCATTACTCAACCATAGGAGCCTGGTGGCAAAAAGAGGGAATTACTGGAAGTGCCATGATGGTGATCCTTCCTCGCCACCCTCCCAGATGTTCCATCTGCTAATGCTGGTGTTACTGCCATTGTGATTAAAAAATACAAAAGAGACCTCATAGAGGACCACCAAAGAGACCCCATGAGATGCAGCTCAAGATGATGAGCAAAAGTGACAGCACCCAGTAAACCAACCAGAGGAGACAGAACAGCAGCCTCCCTGCAGCTCATCAGGGGTCTGTTTCGTGAACTGAGTTGCACAGTCCCCATCCATTCTAAAGGAAGGTAGGAAGGAGAGAACGGTTCTGTAACTTGATCAAATAACCTGAAGGGGTCCCAGACCAAAGGTGGAGAACCTCAGGTCCAGGTTCCAAATGTGGCCCTCCAGTCCTCTGTATCTGGTCCTTGAAACTCTCTTAAGCTATGCTCACCCTTCTTTGCACCCTGTCTGGACTGTGCCCTTGAGCTCTGCTGTTGCCCCTTGCTTGTCTGGATGGAGAATAGAGGCAGATGGTGCATAGAAACTAGCCCACTGTACAAAGGTACAATTTAAATATGTTGCTCCACCCCCCCTTTGCCTCTGAACCCACCCTCCACAGGCATGTTGCCTAGAAGGGAATGTGTCCCCTAGGCTAAAAATGTGCCCTCCATTTAGACCAATGAAGAGGCATCTCTGTGGCACAATTCAACTCATTTATTGAGATCTTTCTGGGTGGGATTTTTCCCCAGAAAGAAAAAAAGTTTGGAGGACTGGAATTTGGGGATATTGTTTATCAGTGGAAGCTGGTCTATTGGGGCAAATGGGGCACTGTCCCAGTAACTGCCTCACCTCATGCAGCCTCCACCTGCCTGTCTTCTTACTTACAAACAAATCCAAGGGATGGCACTACCAATCAGCCTCCTCCTCTGTTGAACTCCCCGCTCCAGTGGGCATCAGTCAACAAAGTGGCTTGCTACAGTGCAGATGACAAAGTCCTACAAGCCCAACATTTATCAGATGCATGAAGTGTAATCCAAAACTTGCAGGGTATATATGGTCACATGTTTCACGCCATTCTGACTGCAAAACTGAACTTGCAAAAAAACAATATGCTCTCTATTATTCCATGTGCTTGGCTTGGTTTCCCTGCTGGCAAGTTCTGATCTATCAAGCAGCCTTCTGGAAACAGTTGAAGCTTTCTCTCCCCCAACCCTTCAGCCCTGCCTCAGTATAAGAATCTTGCTTAATAGCTAGATTTGTTTACTATGAATCACAGAGTACCTTTCCTTACTATTATGTGTATTATGGAGAATGTTTTATAAATGCCCTAATAATTATGGGTGTGGGTTTTTGTCCTGCGGTTAATGAACTCCTTGGAAATGTGCTCCAGCCTCCACCAAGCTGTCAAAAACCCTCACAGCTTTTGGAGTAAAGAACAGGCGTGGCACTCAGTAAAGCCCAGGCATGAGAAAAAAGCATCACTCATTTCCAAATGGATGCTACTTTTTCTAATTCAGACTTGCTTGGAGGCTTTGAAAATCCTGTAGCAATCTTAAGGACGGCATCCATCATTCCTTCCTAGAGGAACTGGGTTGAGTGCCAATTAGTCTGGAAGTGCAACAGTCTTCCACCTCTCCCCAAAATAAGGGCGTGGGTCTTACATACTTGGGGAATCTCCTAGGTATGCAGAAGAATAGCAGATTTTAAATTAAAAGAAATATCCTCCCTGCGAAGTGTCCTGATGCCAGGAGAATTTACTATCTAACACGTGCCAATATAGGTGGATGCAGTTCATAAATTATGCAACAGGGGCTAAATTATTTAAATACAATTAATCACAAATACACCCTTTTTGAACCCCTTCTGTGATTGATACAGGATTAGATGACATGCCCCGAGATATTCAAGCACTGGCGGAGGAACAGGGGTGCGGGGGGAGCGCACCGCTTCTGGCGGCATGATCCCAGTGGGGTGCCATCGTGGCTACCCCCCCCGCGCTGGGTGCCATGCCCCTAGGACGCGCACCATGCGTTGCGCCCCTGCTGGAAGCACGTCACACCCCCGGGATGCACGCCAGCCGCGCCCCTGCCTGCTCTCCGCCCCCCCCCCCGCCAGAGCTTGAAGTTCCGCCACTGTATTCAACGTGTAATTTTTGAAGCACACTGATAAGAAATGAAAACTTTATGCCAAAGACTTCCCTTACAGATAGTCAAATGCAGATTTAAGATATATTAAAGCTGCAAAATGTCTTCCTCTGGATGGTCTGGAAAATTTCTCCACCTTCTGTGCTAAACTGCCATTGATAGCCCTTTCCTCCATGATAGCCTTTTTGTCATGAATTTGTCTAATCCTCTTTTAAAGCCATCTAAGCCTCTTGTGGGAGAGAGTTCCATAGCTTAACTATGTGCTGCATTAAAAAGTCATTTCTTTTATCTGTCTAGAATCCTTCACAGTCCAGCTCACAGGAGCCAAGTCCTAAGGGCCAAGATCCCTCCCCCCCATAAAATATTTGAAGGGTCTTCCCCCCCCCCCCAAGTTGATGGGCATTGCTATTCAAATGGGGGGTGTGTGCTGCATCTTGTGATTATTTTATTTAAGTTGGCACCCCTGGTCCAGCTTCATTAGATGTTGACAAATTCCTATTTTATGAAAGAGAAAAAACTTCACTATCCACTTTTTCCACACCCTGCATAATTTTATAAACTTTTGTCATGCTGCCTCTTACTGGCCTTTTCTCCCTAAGTGAAAAAGTCCTAAACGCTGCAACAACTCTGCAATATGCTTTTTTTAAGTGAGGTGACCAGAATGGTACAATGCATTCCAAATGTGGTTGCACCATAGATTTGTATAGAAGCATGATATCAATAGTTCCTGCCCTCCCTCCCAATTCCTTTCCAATTGTTCCCTAGCATAAAGGTAAAGGTACCCCTGACCGTTATTGTATTTTAGTGCATTGTTGGAAGCCGCCCAGAATGGCTGGGGAAACCCAGCCAGATGGGCAGGGTATAAATAATAAATTATTACTATTATTATGACCGTTAGGTCCAGTCGTGGATGACTCTGGGGTTGCGGCGCTCATCTTGCTCTATAGGCCGAGGGAGCCGGCGTCTGTCTGCAGACAGCTTCCGGGTCATGTGGCCATCATGACTAAGCCGCTTCTGGCGAACCAGAGCAGCGCACGGAAACACCGTTTACCTTCCTGTCGGAGCGGTATCTATTTATCTACTTGCACTTTGAGGTGCTTTCGAACTACTAGGTGGGCAGGAGCTGGGACCGAGCAACAGGAGCTCACCCCGTGGCGGGGATTCAAACCGCCGACCTTCTGATCGGCAAGCCCTAGGCTCAGTGGTTTAGACCACAGCACCACCCGCATCCCTAGCATAGAACTTGCCTTTTTTATTTAATGGATTTATTGCATTGACATGTAAGCTCACCTTCCCCCCCCCCAAGGAGCTCAAGAAGGCGGTGTACATGGTTCTCTCCGTCATTTAATCTCCATAGCATCCCAATGTGATACATTAGATTGAGAGGCAGTAACTGGCAGAAGGACATCCTCCGAGCTTCATGTCTGAGTGGGAATTTGAACCCTGGTGCTGCCACATGCTGGATCACCATCTTAATCAATGTATCCATTACAACCCCAAGGTATCATTCCTGGTCAGGCCCATGAGCGAACAGTATATGTGAAATTGAGATTATGATGATTTTTTTTTGCCCCAAATGTGCATCAGTTTATGCAATTTATTTATTTTTTACATTGAATTGCATTTGCTATTTTTCTGTCCGTTCAGCCAGCTTGGAGAGGTGCTTTTGGAGCTCTTCGCAACCCCTTTTTGTCTTAACCATCCTGGTTTCACCACCATCAGCAAACTTGGCCATCTCGTCAGTCCACCGCGAACTCTAGATTGTTCTACCTGAATCTAGACCTCCTAACGCCAATAGTTAGGCCCCATTAGGAAGTACGACTGAGGGCCTATAGGATACATCCAGGAACACTTTTAGATTGAAAGTTACTTCAAAAGTTGCCTTTGAAGGGGTGTTGGGTACAGGAAAGGATAAAAAAAAACGTAAAAGAATTCCGAACACCTTCAACCATCCCGCCTACTTCTTTTACACAAGAAAAACACACACGAGGCAATGTATATGATTGGCTTCAGAACCTGCCACTCCAAGCACTAAGGTCTCGGATTGACGCCTGGGGATGGCAGTCCCTGGGAACGCGATCTCCTATTGGTCATGGTAGCTGCCAATCCGATTAAAGGGGCCGCTTCAACTCTGAGGTAGCCCGAAGCCTGATTGGTTGGGTCGGGTTTCGCAATCGCCTCTCTCCCTCTCTTGCCCCCCCCTCCCCGCGTTTGGAAAGAATCGAGAGAGAGAAAGAGAAAAAGCGAGTCGGGCCTGGCCGGGCTCGCGCCTCCCCCCCTCCCCGCGCAGCCCCCCGGATCGATACCTGGGCCAGGTACGGCACGAGACTGGGCGGGGCCGGGGAGAACGTCTTCCTTCCCTATGGGGCAGGAGGAAAAGGGGGCATGGGGGGCAGGCATGGCGGGAAGAAGGAGACGCGAGAGGGCCCCCCTCCCCTCAGGAAGGCTTCTATCACCCTCCCCCCCCCACTTGTGGGGATTTATAAACGGGACGGAAAAGGGGTTGGGGAGGCGCCTATGGGGCAGATTGGGGGCGGTGCCAAACGCGGCTAGAGGGGTGAGAGCTCCCCCTCCCAAGGAATGTGTTTGTTTGTTTATATGTGTATATTTACTTCACCAATATAGGGCCGACCGCAGAGCAGGGAGTTGTCACGGTGGCTCGCGAAGGCCCAGAAGCGTGTGAGGTGGTGTGTGTGGGGTGGTGGCGGTGGTAATAGTGATGTGGGGTAAAGAGGAGGGGGGGGTTCGTGGTGTGGAGAGGGGAGAGTTTCCCATGTTTTTCTGTATGGGGCAGGAGGGAGTGGGGAGCGGGGGCTGGAGGGTTAGGGGGGACTCTAAGGTAGGAGCATCTGTGCCCCATAGCCGGGGCGAGAGGCGCGTGGCTTCCCCACGGAGGGGGACCCGCCGGCCGTGCCGAGGAGCGCGTGTCTGGAGCGCGTCTCTCCCTCTCTCTCTGAAGTATGATGCAACCTTCGAGCAACTCTGGCTTCGTCCCTGCTGAGATGAGGTCATGTCTTGGCACATGGGAAATCCCCCAGGGGAGGGAGGGAGCGGGAGAGAGAGCGAGAGAGTGCCTGAGTCCACCCTTCTTAGCCTGCCTGAAGGGTCTTTCTTAGGCTGCACCTTCTTTCCAGGCTCTGAGTTGCAAGGCTGCAGGCTTCCCTTAATAACCTGTTCTGTTTTTTTAGAGAAGCTCCCAGGACATTTGATTCCGAATGCAGCTGGTTTGGGCCGCTCGTTCCTTGCCCCTACTTGTGTTGAGGCGAGCCTTCTCTTTTTTTTTTAAACCCACAAGAAACAAATCCAGCTCAGGGCGAACTTAACAGAAGAGCGATCACAAGTGTTTCCCACAATTCTCTCTTCTCCACGTTTCAGTTTCCGTACACATCGGCACAAGTCTGGGCTTTGCTGTTCGTAGGTCAGCCTATGCACCTCCTCTGTGCTCTCAGGACTTTCAGGAAATAGTAATTGTCATGTTGATAAAGAGTTGTTCAACATGTAAGGACACTGAGCATTGAGGCTAGGGCTCCTATCTGTGGTTAGATGAAGGCAAAAGTGAAAACTGTTGCCCAAGTTAGGGGAAACGTAAAAAAATTAATTAAATTTTTGGCATGTATTCTAGGATTATTATAACATTCTTGGTTTCAAAACTAGCTGCTTTTTCTGCCAGGGAGTCTGCAGCCAGTGATTTTTGAAATAACTTGCATTGCTAAAATCCTATGCCCAACCTAATGCATTGCTAAAATACTATCCCCAACCTGATATCCTCCAGACATTTTGGATTACGATTTCATTAGCTCCAGCCAGCATGGCAGTGCTAGCTGGGGATGATGGAAGTTGTAATCCAGGACATCTGGAGAGCACCAGCCTGGGGAAGTCTGCTCTATAAAATAAAATCCATGTTGTGCATACAAGTCCTATAGATTCTGAGGGAAGTTGTGACTTTTCCCTGTATGTGTCTCAGGTCTTACACTTTTGGAAACCTCTGTGTTCAAATCCTGCATATGTATCTTTAAAATGTATTAAGATCTGCCACTCAGGATACATGGTATGGCTTCCCTCTTTCATTAGTATTGGTGCTGTTTAAGGGCTTAGAGAGCAATATTCAGTTCTCAACAAAAAATGGAGAGCCCTGTTCCAGTGAGGCAGCCATGGTATTAGCCAGCTAGGGTTGGTGGGATGGAGCTTTTAGCAACAGGTATAGATGCTAAAGGAGCAAGAGAGGCACCTTTACCTGACTCCCATATCCTTTCTGCCATGTATCCTAATCAATATTATTTCTCAATATTCTCCTGCCAACTAGAGTGAAGTAACTGAGTATGACAGGGTGTGATACCCCAGGGAAACAGGTCTGGCTGGCCCCATTATATATGTCCTGCTATCTTGGGGAAAACATGTTTTTTTGTGGGGAGGCTGACTTGAGATCATCTGCTGCTGTGGATATTTCTCTTTCTTGCATTTTATTATGTTTTGATTGTTTTTAAAAATGTATACCCCTCTTTTCTGTTACTAGACTTCAATAAGAATAAAACAAAAGGTGGCAGTAGGCATGGGATGCTCTGTGGCAAACCTGAGGCTCAGGACTTCTACTGCACTTGTGTCATTTGCTGGGAATTAGCTCACTTCCTATCTTCAGCATGCACAGTTTATCTCAAGTGCCATATGCTGTTCTTCATCACCCTCACAACATCATCACTGTAGATAACTGTGGCAACCATAGCTATTGAGAGATAGGGTGGATGGCTGGAGTCCTGATTAAGAGCCAGGAGACTGAGAGGTGTTGAGTGGAGAGATGTGTAAGAAGGAAAAGGAATGGCTTTCTGTATATATATTTATTTGTATTGATGGTTTTATTGTGTATTTCTGTAACATTTGTTGTGTTATTGGTGGACTTCTTGGGCCACAGTCATTTGAAAGGTGCCCATCAAACTAGTATCCAGAGCATATTCCCCTCCATGAAAACTACCTGGAATCACTTGCAAACCTTACGTCCAGTGCATAGCCTACACTCTACAGACTTGGTAAAAGAAATAGATACGTCTGCATTATCTGATGCTTCAGTACACCATTAAGACTACCGTGCTGAGTGGCAAAAGCAGGCTTACTATAACTGCTTGCATACCTTTTTTTTTAAATTGGTGTAAATGTTTATCTTAAATCTGTTCTTATGATACTGATGTAGGACCAGTTATGCTAGTATGTTTTTCTTGCAGACAATATCAGAAAATTGCTTTATCCTCTTGTGTGGCCATCCCAGGGGGTTTTCTCATTAGAAGCTGGTTTAAGACACTCAGCATTTCTGCTTTATTCAGTTTTTCGGATTCTGTCTCTCCCCGCCTCCCTTCTTCCCATCTTTAACTTCAGTATTTTCTTTAATTTTTCAAACAAAAAACTTTAGCAGCTTGGTCTGAAAATTATGCTAAAATAAACTGTAAACGACACACCATTGAAGTATAAGTTGGATTTTTAAAAATAATGTTGCTGTAATAAGGAAATGAACTTGAAATCTGCCTTGGCTACTTCCTTGTAACAAATGGTTGTGCCTGCTTATACCTTTCTAAGAGGCTAATTTGAGCAAGAGGAAGCAAGTGTTGCAATTATGAGTTAACAAGGTAGCTGGAAATCTGCCTCTGTGTATTTGGATTATGCTCTTGAAGAGCTTTTTCCAGAGTGTAAGGTCCAGAACTCCTCACAGCAGCATTCATTTTACAAGAAAGAAAGGGCATCTCTTTTTATGTGTCTTCCTCATTACTCTGTTCAGCCTTCAGTTTCCATGGGGACAGTGCTGTGGGGAAAACTTCCAACATAATATGACCACACCTTTTGGGTGCATCCTACTCTTTTCTTTACAATTGCAGCAAGGCAAATGCGGCTCAGTGTTCTATTCTGAAAATACCTTATCTGGCTTTGGGTATCGGGTGATGGCAGTATTGCCCTCTTGCTGATGTACTTAAACATCTTGGCTCTGTCATTAAACTTTATACCCAAGAGGTTTCTTCACTTAAACTGAAGGAAAGAGGCTCTGCTGTTTGTCCATCCTGACAAATTATTTTGGGAGTTGGTCACTCCTTGCTTGTGTTTTTTAAGTTGTTGCCTTACAGTGCAGTTCTATGCATGTCTACTTCAATAGTAGAGCCTTGAACTCCTAGGTAGGTGTGCGTAGGATTTCAGCCTCGGTGTTGGTCTGTTAAGCCTTCAAAGGGTTATATGCTTTTGGCATTGACATTCCTATGTTTAATTTGCTTTGGCTAGATTCCTCTGTAGCCAAATTTCTCTAGGTTTCCAATATTTTATCCCTATATTACAGATATTATAGCATCCCTGTATACTAAATAAAAATATCAAATGTATAACAGAATAATGGGAAAATGTTTGCATGCCAGTTGAAAACTTACAATTTCCTGCAGGCCTTTTTGAGATTTAATTACCTGGACAAGTTTTGGATATTTGTGCTGTAGCTGACTGGCTGTTTTTATCTCATTTGACTTGCTGTAGATTTTGCTTTTACATTTTATGAATGTATCCTGCTCTGGCATCAGATGGGTGTGTTTTTTTTTAATACAAAAAAAGGAGGTTAATTTTATTTCCCAAGGTCTAGGGCCCCTGCTCAAAGCAGTGTATCTGAAAAGAAGAAAACACTTTCTAGGCTTCTGGAAGGGCTATGATTGAAGGGCTGGGCATGCGCTACATTGAGAGATTCTAGACTGGAGCCAGTGGAAGTTGTGGGCCTTTTGCAATGGCAACCTCTCTGTGTGACACCTTCCCAAAAAAGATTTGGCCGGCTACCTCACTCATTGCATTTAGAAAGCGGGTCAGGTCCTTTCTTTTTATTTCCTTTTTTAAGGACAGCTTTTATGATTTAAGTGTGTTATTGAAGCTGATTGTTGTATTTACTATGTGTTTTATAGAGCCATGTTTGGCTAAGAGGCAAAGAGTGAATGTAATAAGGGCATTTGGCAGCCCAGGATGCAAATACCGTATATTTTGCTCTATAAGATGCACCAGACCACAAGACGCGCCTAGTTTTTGGAGGAGGAAAACAATAAAAAAAATATTCTGAATCTCAGAAGCCAGAACAGCAAGAGGGGTCACTGTGCAGTGAAAGCAGCAATCCCTCTTGCTGTTCTGGCTTCTGTGATAGCTGCGCAGCCTGCATTCGTTCCATAAGACGCACACACATTTCCCCTTACTTTTTAGGAGGGAAAAAGTGAGTCTTATAGAGCAAAAAATACAGTAATTCATTCTATGTATTAGAGAGAAATAATTAGAAATTGCAATATTTGGATGAGATACTGAATTTCCGACTAAATATTAGGAAGGATTTTCTGACAGTAAGAGCTGCTTGACAGTGGAAAAGATTCCCTTGGATGGTAGTGGACTCTCTTTCCTTGGAGGTTTTTAAGCATTGTTGGATGGCCATATGTCATGTTAAGTTGTGATTCTTGCATTGCAGGGGGGTTGGACTAGATGATTCTTGGGGTCCCTTGCAATTCTACAATTCCATGAATCTATATATTTAGGGATGTAATTCCTTGCTTACCTCCTGTTATGAAAGTGCACATTTCAGTATGGTAGTTCATAATAATTAAAGGTTCAAGCATTAAACATACGTAAAATCCAAACATTAGGCAGAATTTTGAAAATAAAAAGTTCATTGTTGGCTTATCTGCACTTGTGAATCACATATGCAGCTGCCCCTACATTGCTTGGAATATAAATTTGTGTACTTTAAGCTTTCATGATGCACAGGCTTTGTGACTTTCACTTGCCACTGAGGGCATGTTCTTGCCCTCTGGTGAGTGTCATGAGCCCTGGACTTTTGCCCAAACCTGGACTAGCAGAATGGCTGTGAGAATCCACACATTAGTGTGAGAATAGTCCATGGTTGGGAGGAGGATGGGGGCCTTCTTGGCTATTACATTGCCAAAGCATTATGAATCCCTTAGCAGCATAGCGCTGAACAGACGAGCCCCTGCTATCCTTTTCATAATAGCCCCTGGGAAGTGGTGGTCCAGGAGCTGCACTAGGTATATATGGAGACATTATGGAGATAGAAAAGAAAAGCCTCTGTACTCACTTACAAGTGAGTAAATATACTTGTTTGCATGACTCCTGTATTCATTTCAACCTGGAAAGATTTGAGCAAAGTGTGTCTAAAAGTACAGCAAATGTAGAGCAAATGTTAGACAGTAAGACCAGTTGCCAAGACAGGGTTGTGAAATTGGAAGCTTTTAAGACCTGGCTAGACATTTGTCCACTAGGGATGTCTTTATGATAGCTCAATACATCCAGGCATGTTGCCGGGAGGTTGCCTAAGGGTGAGGCAATAAGGCAAGTCAAATAGCTGTAAAGGCCCTCAGCAAAAGGCATAGAAATAAAAACTGCATTTATTCCAGAGTCCAGACATGTTTTGGCAACTGTAATTCTGAAACTACCAGTCCGTAGTAACACCATATTCTTCATTGTGTACATATACATACATCTGCATGCCTGTCAAGAACATCAACCTATGCCCTTAAAGCAGAATAATTCAAATGCAAATTTGCTAATATCCAAAGACTTCAAGACTGTCTTGCAACATAATCTTCTGTATATCTATTCAGAAGTAAGGTTCATTGAGCAAAATAGTACTCTCATCCAAGTGTTTGATGGATTGCACAGCATTTTTTGCTTTTTCTGCTAAATTAGTTACTTGATGGACATCTAATTGTTTGTGTATGTGTGCCGACACATACATACATAGATGAATATGAATAGTAACAGTGATCTGTTAAATTAAGAATTCTAAAGCAGTGTTTCCCAACCGGTGTTCCGCGGCACACTAGTGTGCCGCGAGACGTTGCCTGGTGTGCCGTGGGAAAAATTAAAAAATTCGAAAGATATCCGGAGAGGCGGCCTTCAGGCGAGTTTTAATTTTAATTTTCCTTCTCCCACTTAATGCCCCACGCTCGCCCGAGCAGCTTGCAGTCCTCGGTAACCACGGCGACCCGAGGGAGGGGAGGGAACAGGGAAGTCGAGGGCGGCGGCGAGCCGCGATGACGTCAGTGGGCCGCGCCGCCTCGCCCTGGCACGGTGTGAGAGCCCCGGCTAGTGGCGCGAGCTTCAGAATAAGTGGGATCCGCGTGCGCGAGACCGAGATCGCGGGTAAGGAGCTCAGCCCTGGGCAGGAGGAAGCGGGGCCGCACGTGCGGGCCACATCCCCACAGAGAGCGAGCCTCCCCCGGCCCACCACTCCGGGCAGGTCCACTCGCATGAGGGGGCGGCGATGGCGACGGCCGGCAGCTTGCCTGCAATGCCATCCCTCGAGCAGGCGAGGAGCCCGGAGGCTACCAGATGCGAGTCCTCTTTCCCACCCTGCTCGGGAGTCCAGAGCACTTGGGCGCATTCAGGATCTAGAGTGGGGAAGCGGGGCTTGTGTCTGGGCTGGACACATTGGGCTGCCTGTGCCGCTCGACCTGCGGGGAGAAATCAGGGTGGGAGTCACGACCGTGAGGCAGGCTAGTGTGAGAAGACAGGCCGTCCCCTCTTGTAAGCTCTTCCGTGTCGACTGCTGCCCTTAGTCTGGCTTTTTCTTGGCTTTTGGGGTTGCAAGAAGAAGGAAAAGGGGAGAGGAAAAAATTGAATTACACTTCGTGGTCTCCGGCGTGAGTGCGCGCTGAGTCACGGGCTGTATGGTGTGTGCTCGAATTTTTATGAACAGTGTGCCTTGCAAAACAATGGGAATCTAAGATTGCGAAAGAGAGAGATGTCCAATAGGGCTGTGCAAAACAATATTTGGTTGCAATATCTGAAAAGTGAGTACCAGAACCCTAGTCTCGAAAAACATTTGGAGTAAAGACTATTAGCATCCCTGTACTGCTGTGATCTTTTGTAGGCTGTAGTATAGGACCTCCTTCCCTCTGTAATGCAACTTTTGCTGCTGAGTACACAGCACACCAAGTACAAGCAGATCTGGCTTACCGATCACAATGCATTCCCTGGGAATCATTAGTTAGGCGAATGTTTGCATTAAGAAGTCCACAATTTCCATTATTTGTTATGGAAATATTTCTAATGTGGGATAGGTCCGTTATCTTTTCACTCCCTCTTTCCATGACTGCTGCTGACCAGCAAAGCACAAATAAACAAGAAAGTTGGCTGTTTGGATATGTGAATCTGCAAAATGTATAGCAAAGTTTGGGTGTAATTCTTTATGTGTGGATAAGTGAATTTTCAGATAGCGAGCATTCAGATAGCAGGACGTGCATGTACAATATTCCTGTACAAGGTACAGAAGATGGGGACTTTTTTTACTATTTGATTCCCTGTTGTTGTTTTAAATAAATCAGGGAGACTTAGGTTTTCAAATAATTTAAATAACTTAAAATAGTAGAACACTTGCTGTGCTGGAAGGTTGTTATCATCCTGGACTGTGTTCTGTTTTTAAAAGGCTCCACGACTATTTGACACCTTTGTGTGGCATAGTGCAGGAGTGCTCAGACTGAAGAATTTTAAAAATACAACACACCATCATTGTCTGTCACACTTGCACAACCACATTCCCTAGAAGAGTTGTCTGGCTGGATCAGGCTACAAGTCCATCTAGTTCAGCATCTTGGTTCTGGGAAGCAGGACAGTAGCCCTTCTGCATTCTTAACCCCTAACAATTAGTATTCAAAAACACAGTGCCTTTGAAGCACCTGGTCTAGTAGCCATTGATAGGCTTGGCCTCTGTCAGATCTCCTTTTAAAGCCATCTAAGCTAGTCGCCAAAGTAGCGTGGCTGGCAGTTTTGCCTGTAATGCCAGAATTTTTTTTATAACACTGGTCTACAGGATGTGCATTGGAATTCACAACTGGGTTACAGTTCAAACAGTGGCATGCATTTGAGAAACATTAAAGTTCTTGAGCTACTGCATGTTGAACTTGGGTCACAAGTCTAACAAAGTTGAAGATTTTTGGTAGAGGGTGTAGTCTGCAACTTTCCTACACAAGAAACGGGACTGTTCAGGACCCACTTCGGAAAACTCATTCTTTATTTATTTTTTATCAGATCTGTTTTTGTTTCCATTTGAACTGGTTTGGGGTTTTTTTGAATGAGGAATAACCCCCCCAAGGTGAAATTTGATGATAAAGGGTTCCAGGGGACATCACATATCCCTAAGTTGATTTTTGTAAAAAAAATAAAAATCAAGATCAAGGCATTGAGGTTGGCTCATGGTTGGTGATTGGCATACTGGAGTTGGGAAAGGATGCAACTTATTTGCATGAAGAATCCCCTATGTGTTTTTTCTATGCAGTCTTCTAATGCAGATGACAAAGACAATTCTATGGGTGTGCCATTGGAAATTTCCCAACACTTTCTTTTTCATTCTAGGTTTAACTTGTGATTGATCCACGTGAAGATTTAAGAAACATCCTGGCAATCTAGAACACCTTACTTTCTCTAATAAATCATACTGTGGGTTTAAAGAAGAGCCTGTCCAAATGAGCAAGACATCACAGCAGAACACAACTGCAGAAAGCAACGGAGTAAGTGTCATCTACACCCAAGCACAAGCGAGTGGGTTGCAGCAGGTTCCTCAGTTGGTGCCTATTAGTCCTGGAGGTGGAGGCAAAGCTACGCCTCCCAGTAAGCAGGGCAAGAAGAATTCCACAATTGATAGAAACAGTGATGAGTACCGCCAGCGCAGGGAGCGCAACAACATGGCGGTGAAAAAGAGTCGTTTGAAAAGCAAGCAGAAGGCCCAGGATACTCTGCAGAGGGTCAACCAGCTCAAAGAGGAGAATGAACGCTTGGAGGCTAAAATCAAGCTCCTGACAAAGGAACTGAGTGTACTCAAAGACTTGTTTCTTGAACACGCTCACAACTTCACAGACAGTGTGCAACCTCTTGGCACAGAAAGCACTGCCACAAATTCAGATGGCTCTGGACAATAGGTGCCCTTTCTCAGCTCATGGGCAGAACAGTATGGACACAGCCCTCCTTACACAAGCCAGGTGCAGCAGCAGAGAAACTTCTCTAAACTTTGTAACATCTGTCATTTTGTGGCTTGTTCTGTTTTTCTAAATAGTAGGCTTAACACTGAAAGGTTGTTTCAAGTAAACTGCAAACTGTTTATTACTAAGTATTTGTTTTTCATTAAGTGTTAATGTATTTTCTGCTCTGGCATTTTTGACTAAATGAAATGATAAAAATGAACAAACACCCCCAAAATTTACATCAGTAAACATTGGCCCGCAGTACTTGGGCAACTATAATTAAATGATTAGTTGTTTAATGTATTCTGAGTGGTTTAAATTGTGCTGATTAATTGGGCTGCAGTTCTTAAATGTTTTTAGTATAACAACTTTCAGAAATCTTGTTTGAAATGGCAGGTGACACATAAGGGTCATCCCCTCTCCTGCACTCCACTTTTGCAGGAAGGAAGCCTCTTTCTGAGGTGGTGCCTGCTACGACCCTTAACAGTCATAATCTGAAGTATGGACAATCTAAAGTGTGTTGATATGCAGAATCATAGAGATTTACAACTGTTATTAAGTTGTGATTTGTGATTAAATCAACACAGGGTTTTTCCAGCAGGGTCACTGAAACAATCAAATACCAAGTGTAGAAATTGACTATTTTAAAATGATTGGTGCAAAAGCTGGTTTAAAGCATATTTATTTCTTCATTGCTTATTTTTTGTGGTGTGAGGTTCACTGAAGCAACCTGTTTTTGATTGTCAGGGTGGGATGTTTCAAACATGTAGCACAAAGCCTTGCTGGATACAGCTCCCATAGTCTTATGGGTTATGTTCAGTAACAGTGCCTCAGAAACAGTAAGGCTTGCTAAGGCTCAGATGGCGACCACATTTTGTAGGCTTGTCAGGCATTATTAGTCTGTGGTCTGAATGCAGGTCCAAGCCTCTCCCTAACATTGCCACCAACAGTGGGAGTGAAGTAGCATTGCCTAGCTGCAAGCTGATCACCATTTTAATCGCCTACAACGCCCTGACAGTGTCAGCCTTTCTGGCATTGTGAGAAATCTTGTCCCTCCATATAAGTCTTTGGCTGAGAGGACCAGAGCAGTTGTCAGCATTGACGAGGCCAAGGTAGCTGGTAGTGCCAGTGGGCTTGAAGAGTTCTGTCAGCCTTAGGAGTGGATTTCAAGATCACTCTCTTCAGTTCCCATCACTGTGTGTAGAAGGGAATGACTTCACAGGGAAATGGTGTATATTTAAATATGGATTGCCCTGTCTGAGGTTTGCAGCTGATGACAATGTAGGAGCTTGGGGCCTGACAAGTATTGTGGCTCGCAGCCCCTTTTGTGACAAATGGCAATGAATGGTAAGTGCAGGAGACTGGTTTGTGATAAAGGGTTGTGCAGAAGGAGGGCCATTCAAAAACTAAATGAGATGGGCATTTCAAACTCCTTTATCCAGGGACTTCTACATCCTAATACAGTGGTGCCTCGCAAGACGAAATTAATTCGTTCCGCGAGTTTTGTTGTCTTGCGATTTTTTTCGTCTTGCGAAGCACAGTGACGGGAAAGTTTTGGAAAAGCTTCAAAAATCACCAAAGTCTTTAAAAACCTCAAAAAAGGGTACCACACCGCGTTCTATGAGTTGCTCCTCGAAGTCAAGTCGCAACTGTATTAACGGTGTTAAGAAAAAGGAAACAAACTTGCAAGACGTTTCCGTCTTGCGAAGCAAGCCCATAGGGAAAATCGTCTTGCGAAGCAGCTCAAAAAACAAAAAACCCTTTCGTCTAGCGAGTTTTTTGTCTTGCGAGGCATTCGTCTTGCGAGGTACCTCTGTACTCGAACTGCACTGCTGTCAAGATGCAAGGGAGCTTCATACTAATTAACTGGGGCTGAAAGAAACATGAAGCACTGGCCTTTGATACAAGGTTAGTTGACCTGGCTGTTCACTGCCCCGTGACCCAAATTAGTTGGTGATTCTGCAGCCAGGACTTTTTCAAAAAACAAGCCTTGTAACAGGGTCCACAAAATTAATTCCTTGCTTATTGGCATTCCTTTGAGGGTGGGTGGGTGGGTGGAGAACCTTAGTTTTTTATATATACTTTTCCAGTGCTGGTGATAAGCCCCCTTATTTTATCTTTGTGGTGTATAGGAAACTTAACACATTAAAAAGAGCAGGGAAGTTGATATAACCTTTAATTTATTTTCCCTCAACTATTTTCATTCATAGTATGTTTGCATATTGGATTAGCAAAAAATACTTTTATACCTCCCCTTCCTTTGCAGTCATTGTGTTGTACATGTATTTAGAAAGACTGAGTCAAGAACTCAGTGATGATAGACAAGAATAATTAAAAAAAAACTTTACAAAATCATGCTCGTGTGTACTTGTGGAAATTTCTCTTGAAAGGGCTAGTCACAGAAGGCCAAGTAAAGTAGCTGGTGGGGAAGATTCAGTGCTTGATGGAGCAGGGAGGGGAGCAGGTTAGCAGATTACTTTCTTGGTCTTACTAGAAATCTTGTTCAGTATGCATGAGCCGCTACTTACAAGATCAAAAGCTAGGAGAACACAATATCTGTCTAGAAGCAAACAGAGCAGGTCCATGCCTCATCTTTTTCTTCACATATTCATGACATAGAAAGGAGCTCTCACTTTGGAAGCCAGTGTAGTGTAAAATGGACAGAATGCTGCATTTTGGAGTCCTGTTTGGCTAGGAAGCTGATTGGGTGGCTGCGAGCAAGTTGTTGCTTAGCTTATTACTAAAGGTTGTGCCACACTCCACACTAACCCCACCCCAGAGCTTCCCCTTCCCAGCCCATACAACTACTAAACATGCTTTTCACCTTGCACCAAATTTTCAGATGCCCCTTGTCTTCTGTAGCCTTGCTTTGTACCGTTTTCACCTTGATTCCAAGTTTCCTTCCTCTCCTTTTGTCAACTTCCCCATGTACAGAAGTTAACACCAAAAAGCCTTTCCTAACACCCCTCTAGCTGTACTCTAACCTTGCTTTAATCTGCCACTCTCCCTACCCACTCCTCTGCCATTAAAAAAAAATCACCACTTTCTCCCTGTTTTTACCCCATCCCTGCTTTATTCAAATTTCTGCTTAAATTGTAGTTTTAAACTACAATTTTCCTTTGAGGTCTTGCAACCTGCCTTCTCTTTCCTCTCCTCCCTTCATGCAAATCCAGGATTGTAATGGGGCACTACATATCCTCCAATAGGGGATGCGTATTGACGCCTTTACATTTTTATGTATATGGTAAGATAGATTATCTTAAGCATTATGTTTCAGGAGACATATACATATAACCATATTCTGAATCAAATACCTGTTTATGAAATAAAATGCTGCAATAAAAAGGACACCTGTGTGATTAAATAACATTACAACTGAGTGAAGGAGTAATTCCTATAAACCAAAGTGTTGACAGGGTGCTAAACTCTCCCTCGCTGATGCTTGGGCTGATGGAACAGAATGACGTAAGTTCATGCTGAACTGTGAAATCAGGCTAGCTAGAGGCTGCACTCATGACTTCATGTACCTGGGAGTAAGGTAAAGGTAAAGGTACCCCTGCCCGTACGGGCCAGTCTTGACAGACTGGGTTGTGCGCCCATCTCACTCTATAGGCCGGGGGCCAGCGCTGTCCGAAGACACTTCCGGGTCACGTGGCCAGCGTGACAAGCTGCATCTGGCGAGCCAGCGCAGCACACGGAACGCCGTTTACCTTCCCACTAGTAAGCGGTCCCTATCTACTTGCACCCGGGGGTGCTTTCGAACTGCTAGGTTGGCAGGCGCTGGGACCGAGCAGCGGGAGCGCACCCCGCTGCGGGGATTCGAACCGCCGACCTTTCAATCGGCAAGCCCTAGGCGCTGAGGCTTTTACCCACAGCGCCACCCGCGTCCCTAACCTGGGAGTAAACCTCATTAAATTCAGCAGGACAACTTCTGAGTACAGTACACATGGTGAGTGTGTGAGAGGAAGTCCTTTCCCCATTGGCATAATTTCCTGAGTTACCAGAGGAAGTGTTCCCCAAAATTTAAAGACTCAAAAATTTCAAAATTTAAAGGCCCCACCTTGGACCCTCCAAAGAAGAGGCCTACAAAGGTTGCTGTCGATAGGTCTATATTAGCTCCAATGTGTTCAGTGTTAGGGGACCACAGATGGTGTAATTAACTTGCCCCAGAACAGCAAATATTGATCTTAAGAGGAATAACTGGAAAAAAAATAGTTGGCAGCCCAGCCTTCCGCAGTACTGGAAAGAGAATTCCAGAGAAAGAAATGGAAGTAGTGGTTTTAAGGCAAAGTTTTTATTTCTGCATTTATTAGGCCAATAGTACATTATATTAGGCCAATACAGTCATACCTTGGGTTGAAGTAGCTTCGGGTTGTGTTCCGCGGCGACCCAGAAGTAACAGAGCACGTTACTTCCGGGTTTTGCTGCTCGTGCATGCTCAGACGCTCAAAATGACGTCACACATGTGCAGAAGCTGCGACTTGCGAACGCGCAGACGCGGGTTGTGTTCATTTCAGGATGCGAACGGGGCTCCAGGACGGATCCCGTTCGCATCCAGAGATACCACTGTATAATGATCTGCCTTAAATCAGAAGAGAAATTTGTCATCTGTTTAAAAATTAGGTTTAAGATTACAAAGTCTCTCAAGCAGGGGCTATGTCCATCATTCAAAAAGATCCTTTGAATCAGTAGGGTTGGACTGCTTGCAGAGAAGCAAGAAACGGTTAGGCTAAGGCTATGATCAGCTTAAGGCATTGTCGCTTACAATATTTTTTCATTTGGCACGTGATGAAAGGCTTTTCCCTTTGCCATAAAGTAGCTGTTTTACCCCACTGTAGCACCTGCAAAACTGGACACATTTCCTTAGATGCTGCAGTGCCAGCAAGAGGGGAACCAATATCCTAGCGGTTACACAGAGGCGGAAGCAAAGGATTTGGTGACCCCATGAGCTTCAGCCATAAATGATTCAATCTCCTCCACAGTCCGGGGGACGCAGGTCAGCAGCTCCATCCCATTAGCTGTCACAGCAATGTCGTCCTCAATTCGTACCTGGGAAAAACAAGCATCTGGTTGAGCACTCAGGAAGAAGGGAGCAATGGCCTGGCTTGCACGAGGCCCACCCAGTTGGAGAGGATGACTTTGGGAGCTCAAAACAACTACAGAGCTATAGATTCCCCTTCCCTTTCTAAGCCACCATAAAATGCATGTAACGTTCTGGATATGCTTTTCTTTCCAAGGTAAGAGCCCACATTGAGGAACTGGAGCCTATGCCCCTTCTCAGGTAGTTCAATACTGTTGATCATCTGGGGAGGGAGAGCCGTATTCAGTCCCTCCAGCTGCCACAATGAAATCAATTGGATATGTCAGCTCACAGTCCTTTGCTCCCTCTCACTTGTGCACCTGTTTCTTCCAAACGGGTCATGGCACAAGCATTTTGTGCTTCTCACATCAGCCAGGGAGGAAAGGGGTATGTGGCAGCATGGCTTATCTAATGTGCTGGCATAGAGGTGCAACGCTGAACAAAACCCCTGAGAGCCGAATGTGGGAAGACTTGCTGCGGCTCTGGCAAAACCTACGTAGGACAGAGGACCCCTCCCACTTCGCCTCCATAAACTGCTCAACATGGGCACATCCTTCTCACACCATCTCCCACCCCCCAGCCAGATCCAGCACACTCCCTCTTTGCAGACCATTACTCAAGAATCCAGATCTTCATCTTGCTCTGCTTCACTGCAGATTTGTGAAGCTCTGTTCACCAATTTAATGCTCTCTGACTGTCTCTCTCTCTTTAAAAAAATGAACCATGACAGCGGATGCCTTATAGCTGATAGTGTTACCAAGAACTTTGAAACCTTTCCCATTTTCACTGGGTGCGCATGAAAAGGCCGGACCATTTTCTGTTCTGTTCTAACCTTCTCTGCCAGTTAAATATGCAGACTCAAGTCATTATCCCTTATCTTATCAGAAAGAAAGGTAAGTCTCCAAGCTGCAATAAAAGCAATTTTAGCAAGGTGTCAAATCCAAAGGAACACAAAACCCAGTGACTCCCACCATACAAGCGCTTTAATTGTTTCTGACCTCTGGGCATTTTAATCTAAAAATAATGCTAGTTTAACATTTGTCCTCCTGCTTGCAAAATAATCCATTTGTTCAAACAGAGCGAGTCATCGAGCCCTATTAAAGCGTTCAAAGAGGTATTTGCCAGATTATCTTCTTTATTTGACATTAATTTAAGTGTATTACAGAACTGAATTAAATAAACTTTCCAGAATTCACACCCAGGAGGGTGACAGCTGTCTGGTTTCCTCTACGTTTCCTGCTCAAAACCTTCCTGAAAGAGACATATTCATTGCCCCAAAGAGAAGGCAATTTCTCAAGGCCTGCTTCTTCTGATAGCACAATGGCAACAGGCAAGCCACAAAAGTAGCCATATTTAATAGGGCTGTTTCGGCTGATGTAAACTGCTAGGTCCCATGGAAGAAATGACGGCCAGCAGACACAAAACTTGGGGTTGACTGCAATCCTCTTAGACAACACGCACTGTGGACAGATTTGCACCTGTGAAAAATGTCTTACACCTGCAAAATTGCACAAATGCAGTTTCAAAATTGTAGAAATTTACGTAGAAGCAAGAGTTAGCGGGGCTGACTTTTTTTAAAATTAAACTCTTAACTGCAATTTATTGCAAGCATTTTAACACAAGTGAATCCCCAAGAAAACTATAAAGGCCCTGTCATGGGTTATATAGTTCTGTTAGGTATCTTGCCTCTTATTTTTAAAGCACATCCCTCAAACAACTCCTGGCTGCCTCTGCTCACGAGCCCAATGACCTAAGCAGCCTCAGGGAGAAGCCAGAGATTACAGTACAATCACATCTTACATAGGCCCTTGGTTCCAAGGGTTATGCATACACACAAAAATGTGCATGCTCAAACCCTTGGAACTGTCCCTGTGTGAGCATCCTTACTCTTCCAGAGCTAGTGTGCCAAGAGGACCTTGCCTGGTAAGCAAGTAAGAGAGGTTTCGTGCTGGGGAAACCCTGCGTGCATTTTCAACCAGCCGGCCTTCAGCTGCTCAAGTTAAAGCTGTGGAAGATGCAATCAAGCCACACTCGCTCCTATCAACCACAGTGATGCAGCTATGCGCAGCCCACGAGGTGCACCTCAGTTGTTCCAGCCGCACAGCCTGCTGGGGGCTCCCTGACCTCTCCTGCTGCAACACGGCTTCTTGGAGCACCAATATCCTTGGGCCAGCCCTCCTCCCAGCCTCCCATGCCCCATAGCAAGCCCCCACCTCTTCCTCCATGCCTTCACACCAGGCCTCTCACCCTTCAGGCTGACGCTGCAGAATTAGCTGGTACGTCAAAAGTTGCATTTAAAAAAGAGAGGAGGGTGTCAGGCCCTCGGATCCTGGCTGGCCTGCATGCACTGATAAAGAAAGAACAGTGCAAAGCAAAGATGACCTCTCCAACCCAGCGGGGGGAGAGAATCCAGCAGCAGAAGGTAAAGTCCCACACGGCTTGATAAGATTGTATGCTCTGCACACAGGGCTTACAAAGCGCTGAGGCCAAAGCCAGGACCGAGTGACTCAGAGAGCTGGCTGTTAAGGGAACAAGGGAGCTTCGGTGTATAAAGGTAGCGAGAGGAACTCAGCTTCAGCAAAGGGGCCCGAATTCTCCATTTCCTTTGACGGGGTGAAATCATTGGGGGGGGGGGGGAATTCAGGCAGGGGGAACACTTTCCTTCTCTGTGGGCTCATTTATTGCAGGTCCACCCCATTCCTGCAACGCTACATTCTGCTCCCAGGTAGTATCAAGGCTGCACAAAATGAGGAAATATTCCATTCTGAATATAATTGAGTACCAACTCTTGGATGTTTCCCACAGTTTGGCAGAAATTGTTGAATTCCTTCAGAAAATGGGTCCAGTTCCAAGTACCAGTCATAGTACCCTTTAAAGTCCTTCAATGCTTAGGATCATGGGCAACTTGAAGATTCATCCGTCTCCACATGGGCCTCCCTGTACGTGTATTTTCACAATGGAGGGTCTCCTTTGGCTGACCCTGTAACCTAAGGTGAAGGAAGGGGTGGCTAACTGGTTTGTGGGGGAGGCTCCCACATTCCCCCTCCCCAGGACTGCCACTGAGGGGGGATGGGCTGTGGTCTGGATGACTCCCCCCTCATACTGATGTGTTTTCTTTTTTCACTCCCCTTCCATGGTTGCTAACCATGCAATTAAAGTAAAATTTACTTTGAACCTTAATTGCAGAAGAAACTCTGCTATTTGGGACACAATGGGCCAAAGGCACTTTATCCATGAAACTGGTGCCCGTGATGTTGAAATCTCCTGCTATGGGAGGCCTAGGAATGAGAGATTCTGCTACAACAGTTGCTTGTGTCAGGAGGAAAACATACTGAGTAACTGATCCATTCAGATACCCAGCAAAGCCCAGCGGCTAAGAAGCTGAGCTATGAATCCAGACACCCCTGGTTCAAATCACACCTCAGACATACGTTTTTGAAAACACACTTTCTGTCTCAGGAGCCCTGTCTGTGATGTGGGTGCAATGGCAGCCGAAGGATTAGCCTGAAGGACTGCTGTAAGCTTTGCACAGTACCTAAGGCTGCAAGTTCCCTCTCCACGCGAGGCAAGACATCCAGTGGCAGAGATCTCTGCCCTAAGAGGCGCTAAAAGCAAGTAACTCACCCCTCCAAAACCCCGAAAGCGTGACAGAACTTCGTTATTGATGAAGCAAGCCTGGGCAGGGTCAGCCAGGGCCTGGTCCAAGAGGTGGTCGATGAAGTAGATGCCAGGCTCCACCGTCAGCACCATGCCTTGGACAAGGAGGCGGGCAGTTCGCAGGCTCCGCAGCCCTGGAAGGTCAATGCGTTCCACACCCTAGAAAAGTGCGGCATAATGGTTAGAGTGTTCGACCAGAACCTGGGAGAGCAGGGTTCGAATCCCAACTCAGCCATGAAGCTCATTGGGTGACCTTGGGCCAGTCACTGTCTCTTAGCCTAACCTCCCTCACAGGGTTGTTGTGAGGATGAAACAGGAAACGGAGAACTATTTACTCCACCCTGAGAAACTTGGAGGAAAAGGTGGGATATAAATGAAATAAATACACATTCACCCTGATATGGTTAATTTGGAGCACTGTGTTCAGACACAGTCTGTCGTGCTTCTCTCATTTCTTTACCGGGCAGAATAGCATTTCTTTTCCCACTTAAAACATTCCTAACATTTAACAGGAAGAAAAACTAGCTGTGGCTGTTTGACACCCACACATCCAAGGCCTGAACTGTTCGGATGAACAGAGTTGGTGGGAAATGCCCAGCGAGGATGAGAAGGAGCATGTCTAATTTCCTCGCTGCCCCTTGGGCTCCCAGCCCCATCCCACCCAGGAATACATTGAAGAGCTAAGAGTGCCTAATCTCGTGGATTAATGAAGTTCATGATCCGGAAAGGATTAAATTAGCGGCTGGACCCCTGGGCCACCAGCCTTTTTTAATCTGAAAAATAAACTTGAAGATGCTTGGAACACAAAACCAAACACAACCAGGTTCTCTTGGGTCCATCGCTCGTAAGCATCCCCCAGTGATGAATGATCAATTTCTACTAACTGGATATGAAGGCAGGGCCGGGCCAATGCAAAGGCAGGATCCTCAGAAGAGTGCAGAAGGAGGGAATGCGATTACTGCTCCCCCTGCCCCAGAGTCAGTTGGCCTGCGTTCGACTGACTTCATTCTCTAAAGAAAGCAGGGCAGAATTGTGTGTGTGTGTGTGTGTGTGTGTGTGTGTAACGAAGGGCGGCAACTGGCAAAGCCCTTGAAGAGAGGACCTAGGAAGGGGCATGGAAAAGGCTGCTTCTCCAGCTCTAAGTCTGCAATCTCACATACGCCTTGGTACGTGGAAGCAGGTAGTTACGTCTTTGGGAATTCCTCCTCTGGGAAGCCCATCTGGCTGACTCTCCCTCTTCAAAACACTTGCAAGGATATGACCTTTCCCAGCAAGGCTTCAGAACAGGGGTTGTAAAAACCACAGGCCCTTGAGGGATAAGTGTGGCCCTCCAGGCCTCTCCACTGGATCTTTGGAGCATCTCCTGCACCCATTTGCACCCTCCCTGTGTGCTTTTTTGCTTGGTTGTGTCCTTGAGCCCTTGCTTTTGCTTGCCTAGGTGGAGGACAGAGCAGGGTATACATTGTGTAGAAACTAGCTTACTGTACAAAGGCAGAATTGACATTCGTTGCTCTGTCCACTTCTGCCTCTGGCTCTGGGGAGGCTGCCCAGAAGGTGGTATGTGGCTCTTGAGCTGAAAGACTATTCTCCATCCCTGGAGAAACAGTGATCTGACTTTCCTGCCTTGCTTGGGAGTTGCCTTCTGGCAGGTTCTGCAATTAATTTGTGGCTGTTGCTTATGTTTTAGTTTGTGGATTCAACCATAGGATTTTAAAGCCCGATAATGGGCTGGCAAAGCACTATGCATGTTTGCATAAACAAGTAAACACAGACAGCTGTTTGGAGGTGGTGGGACACGTGGAAGAAGGGGGACAGAGGCATGCCGACTTGATTGTTTCCAGATCTTTTGACTCCCTTTTGCAATCCTGGTGATTTAACTGGCACCCTTGGAGACGCTCCGATACTGACCTCTGGGTAGCCTCCCACATCATGCACGTCGATCCCAAGGAGGTGTCCAAGCCCGTGGGGCATAAATAACGCGCCCAGATGAACCTTCACCATGTCATCAACGTTGCCTCGGAGGATGCCAATTTTTGTGAGCTCTTCCAGATGGATTCGGTCGGCCAGACGGTGCATGTCAGGCCAGGAGACTCCTTGAGGGGAGCAGAGAAAAATGGCTGCCATTAACTATTATTTAGATGCTCATCCCCCTCTTTTAAATAGAAAACCAGGGTGGGGGGACATAGCAGCAGAGGTGCACCCACCCAATGCCAGAGTTTTCATTTTAATACATATGATGCTTTAAAGAATAAAGAAATGTTACTCAGCAAACAAACAAAAGAAAAACGGGGGGGGGGGGGAAAGACATATAGCATTTTTTCCTTTAAAGTAAAAGGATCTTTGGCCCTCCAGATGTTGCTGAACTACAACTCCTATCATTCCTGCTGGCTGGGGCTGATGGGAATTGGGGTCCCAAGAGGGCCAAGGGTTCCTCACTAATGCTTTAAGATGTCCCACACGAAGAGCTAATTAATGCAACAGCACCTTCACAGTCTTTGTGGGGTGTTAATGTGCCCCACACATGACTTGGGAATGATGGATCCAATTCTACATTGGACTTGGGAGACTAGGGCATAAAGCTCACTAGGAGCACTTGGGCCAGAGACGATCCTTTCAATCAAACGTAACCCACAGGGTTCCAGGAAGGGCAACATAAGGGACACATCACAAATACTGCCTCCAAGAAAGGATGCAAAGATACCAAAGCAATAAATCAGATGACTAAGCGAATTAATGCCACCGGCACATGACTTATTCCTCATCCTAAGAAAGAATAATTGTTTGAGTTTTTCTGTGTGTCCATCTTCCTGCTAATTTCCCCAGAGGGTTCACAATTTAATGAAGACTTTCCCTCACCCACTCTCACCTCCACAACTCAGCCAACCCCTCGTTTGAGGGAGCACAGAAATCTCACATCCTCTCTCAAGCCAACAGGCCTATCTGCTTGCCCAGCCCAGCCCAGCCCAACCTTGTGGAGAACAATTTTTCCCCTCCACCTGAATTATCACGGCCCAACAGGACACATCTCCCTACCCAACCCCGATCCATAAACACTAGCAAATCCGCAAAGCTATCATCACTTTTGTTATGTGTTTTATATTGTATTTGGAAGACTGATCTTCTTATTTAAGATTCAAATAGATCACCCACTCATTCACTCCTTTCCTCTCAAGTCATTTGAACGAACACAGCCCGTTTTGTGAATGTCCAGGCCAGCCATCCTCAATCTGGCGCCCTCCAAATGTTTTAGATTGCAACTCCCATCAGCCCCAGCCAGCAGAGCTCTATGCATGATGCTGGGGCTGATGGGAGCACAGCAATGCCAGCTGAGGCTGATGGGAGCTATAGTTTGTCCAGAATATCTGGAGTCTACCGGGTTGGCAAAGGCTATCAACACTAATGGGTCCACCTTCCATCCCTCCCTGTTTGCTCTCCATCTCCCTGAGGCTATTCAGATTCCCCCAAATGCCCCTGGGTTGAGGTCTTTCACCCCAGAACATCATCCTGCCAAGTGGCAGGAAGACTTTTGACTGGCCTGCAGTACAGATGTGTAACAAAATGTCCACACCTGTAAGCTTCCTTTCTCTGCAGTGAGCAGCTTGGAATATCTGCAGTTCTGGCTGGCTGCCCATCACTTTCCCTCTGACTGATGCCCGTCTCAGCAGCCGACACCCTTCTCCCTACCCAGAGCAAACTTCATTTGGCCAACTGACCATTTAACCAAAACCTCAAGAACCGTGATACTTATCCGACAAAGGCACTCCGAAATCTGCTGGTTGACTACTTTGAAATGAGCTGCAGTGACACATAGCACATTGCTTCCTTGGTGGCGGGTACTGCACAGTCTTGCAGTGCATCTTTCGCACTGGCTGCCGTCATGCTGCTCCCTTCCCCGCCCCCCCCATGGGGCGTTGAGTCACTCCCAACAGGACCGTTTGCCAAACTAAGGTAACTAGGGTGAAGGTTTAGCAGCTAACGCTTTCCTTGTTCGGATTTGGCACACTCGTGTACGAGTCAGCAGTTTTTGCATCCAAGAGGCCCTCCCAGTTTACATTTGCTTTACCCCCTTCAGTGGGGGAGAAAGCCTTGGGGGATGGGGGTATATCTTGTCTGAATTATGTTAACTTTTAAAAAAAGGAAACACACACACAATGTGCTGAAAATAATCAGAAGGGAGGAACACTCCCCTAGCTCAGCACCAATAAAAAATTACCCTTGTCCTACCTCTCTAGAATAAAGGCCAGTAACAGATTATCCTTTTTTTCGGTGTGTGGTGTGGGCAACACAGCGGTTCAACACCCAAAGAATCACAGAGCTGGAAGGGACCACCAAGGGTCATGTAGTCCAACCCCCAGCAATGGGAGGAATAGCAGCTAAAGAATCCTTGACAGATGGCCACCCAACCTCTGTTTTAAAACCTCAAAGGAAGGAGAGTTCAGCGTCTTCCAAGGTAGTCCTTTAAACTGTTTAAAGTTAGCTGGTTTCTGATTTTCACATTTTCATATTTGTTTTGTTGTTTAGTTTAATGTACAGCTGTTGTAAACTGCTCTGATTTTTTTTTAAGAATAGCAATATATAAATATCATTTTATCAAATGAATAAATGAATGCAACAAAAAACTCATTACACAGACACAATAAAACTTACTGAAAACAGTATGTAGGTGTCCGTATGGAAGGGTTCTAGGATGTTAGTTATTTTAGAATCAATACTTTTATTGATATATGAAGGGAGCACCAGAGAATGAAGACTGTGGGGCAATGACTTCATCTGAGAGGGGAGGCTCAGTCTACTCCTATTATGCAGAGAGGCCGAGGCCCCTCACCCACATACCTTTGGAAATCGCAGAATCATAGACTTGTAGAGTTGGGATGCACCTAAGGGTCATCTAGTTCAACCCCGGGCAATGCAGGAATCATAGCTAAATAACATTTGACAGCCCAACCTCTGTTTAAAAACCTCCGGTCTCCTCTTTACCAGGCTAAACGTACCCAAATTCCCTCGACTGTTCCTCATAAGGCTTGGTTTCCAGGCCCTTTATCATCTTGGTCACCCTCCTTTGCACATGTTCCAGCTTGTCAATATCCTTCTTAAACTGTAGTGCCCAGAAATGGACACAGGATTCCAGGTCTGCCCTGACCAAGGCAGAATAGAGTGGCACTATCATTTCCCTTGAACTGGACACTAGAGTTCCGTTGATGCAGCCTAGAACTGCAGTAACTTTTTTTTGCTGCTGCATGACACTGTTGACTCATGCTAAGGTTGTGGTCTACTAAGACCCCTTGATCCTTTTCACATGTACTAATAATTTGGCTAAAAGTGTGGAAATCAGAGGAAGGTTTTTTTGGGATCTCATTAAGCTCCCATATATCACACAATGCTAAGAAATGAGGAAGCTGGCCCAAGTCTGGCTCAGTTTGCTTTGATCTTGACAAAATGAAGTTGCACTTTGGTGCTGAAATTGAAAGTATGATCAAAGAATCCCAGTGACTGGAGCTGGCATCACCCTGGAAGAGTTCCTTGAGAGCCTCCCTCCACCCCCGAAAAAAATAAAAAACTTTGCAGACCAGAACTTGAGAAGAATTCAGAAGAGGGTCTAATTAACACCAGCTTTTTACATGAGAGGCCCTGATGGCACATTAAAAGTTAGGCTGAGGCCAAAAAGACTTTGCAGAAGTTGCACATCTCCTTTCCTTTTACTGGCTACCCATTTTCATTAAGGAGGTGCTCAGAGACGCATTAATATATTATGCTCTGAGAGATGTCAGATTTTTCATCCTTCCCACCAAACCCATCCACCCCTCTAAATTAAAAGGTTCAGGGTCCTAAAGTCAGAGAAAACTCTTCATTATTTTTGCATGCAACTCAGGAATATTCAGCTTTAATCAGAGAAGCAATTTTAGGCCCCTTATAAGACTAATCCCCCTCTCCCAAGGCACAGGATACTCTCACAAGGAAAAATCTTCTTAACTGCCTGCATTCCCGATGACTAAAGGAATCATCTGCAGATACTCCTTTGAAAAAGAACAGGCTCCAGAGGGTGATGTGGTCAGGCGTTTGCTGCCCCCCCCCCCAATTCCCCACTTTGCATAGGGCACCTGAGATGGTCAGAGGCAGCACAGGCAAATCCTTAGTCTCCATACTACACACTTCTTTCAGGTTAAGGTGTGCTGGCAAAGGCTGCTCTAACCACTACACCACACTGTCTAACATTGGTGAAATGCTCCCTGGGTTTTAGTGAACTGCTCTCCACTGGGCTGCTAATAGATCCACCCCCCTGACCCACCTGGAACCTTGGAAAATGCAACCTGCTCCCCAATACTGGGAGGTTCATCAGCCAGCCAGCCAGCTGTCAGCCATTCGAGGGCCAGGTTTACATAGTCTGATTGGAGAACCCTTGGACTTTGGACCGCTGTCGCATGAGACGTCTGTCCAAAGGGGAAATCTGCTGATGAGGCGTCTGCTTCATTCTTAATTCACTGCCAAATGAGATACGGTGCGATGTAGGTTAGTGAACCAATAGATGACCTTCTCACCCAATGAGCATGGCTCACTATGGTTCCTCTGCTTCTTCCTGAGCATCAATGGAAGCGTGATGGGCCTGGACATGACACACCTTCTAGGGTCTCCCCACTCAGCTCTCCCTCTCTCTCTCTGCAGCTATAACAAGGACTGCTTGACTGCCACAACGTTGACCGTAGCCTTGGGCAAACAAGGTAACTGCGCTTGACACAGGAATATGGATTAGTTAGCAAAGAGATTACGGCATCAGAAGCCATTCAGCATTACAGAGGGCTAGCACAGTGAAGGCAGATTTCAACATGACTTTCAGGCTGCAGTAGAAGGAGCGAGGTGGTACTGCAGGGGCCCTGCCGCTGACTCTGCTAAAATACCAGCTCTAGAAGGCTCCTCCCTCAGCTGTCATCCTTTCTGTCAGAGTACAGGAAGAGAGAGAAAGGCCAGCAGAGCCTCTCCATCAACTCTGCAACGTCTGACTCCTCGTCTCCTTGGAATCCGTCCAATCCAGCTGGCCAGCAACTCTGCGCTACGAAATAGTGCAGAGTTTACTTGCTTTCCTCCTCCCTCCTAAACCTTCTTGTCCCCTTTTGTGCTGTGTCTTTCATATTGTAAGCCCAAGAGCAGGGACTGCCTTCTCACAAACAATTTGTAAATGTTCTTTTTCTGCTAAGTAAAGGTAAAGGTAAAGGTACCCCTGCCCATACGGGCCAGTCTTGCCAGACTCTAGGGTTGTGTGCTCATCTCACTCTATAGGCCGGGAGCCAGCGCTGTCCGCAGACACTTCCGGGTCACGTGGCCAGCGTGACAAACTGCATCTGGCGAGCCAGCGCAGCACACGGAACACCGTTTACCTTCCCGCTGGTAAGCGGTCCCTATTTATCTACTTGCACCCGGGGGTGCTTTCGAACTGCTAGGTTGGCAGGTGCTGGGACCGAGCAACGGGAGCGCACCCCGCCGCAGGGATTCGAACCGCCGACCATGCGATCGGCAAGTCCTAGGCGCTGAGGTTTTACCCACAGCGCCACCCACGTCCCTTTTCCTGCTAAAGAGGGAGATAAAAAATGCTATAAACAAAGAAACACCTAAAGGGTTCTGAAGGCAAGCAAACAGAGGAGGCTGTCTCATCCCAAAGACTTGGAGACCCCTCACCCCACTTAACAGCAGCGTTGAGGAGACTAACAGACCTGATTCATGCAGCACAAACCACCAGGATAGGGATGAGGAACCCCAGCCCTTCCAGGCCTCTCAGTATCCCCACGCCAATGGCCCATCTAGTACAGCATCCTGTTCTCACAGCAGCCAACTGGATGCCTCAATGGGAAACTAGCAAGCAGTAATCGAGCACAAAAGCATTCAGAAGCACATTTGTCCGGTCCTATTATCAGCACATGGAAGGAGGAATCGCAATTCTAATTGGAACTGGGGCTGGAGAGGGAAAGGTGGGAATTCCCTACCACCACCACCTACCATCCAATGTACTGCTTCCAGGCGATGCACTGAGCATCATGCGCAAACCTGGCCATGAAACTCTTTTTGACAATCTGTTTCTCTAGATGCGCAGCTGCCAGTAACATTATTTAAAAAAATAAAAATAAAAAATAAAATGCTGGCTGGGTGGAAAAACAGCAACGACATCTGAGCATATTTGGAAGCCCTTTCACATTTTTTCATACTTTGTGGAAGCAAACAGCATCCATCAGCACAACAGCCGCCTTTTGCCCAGCGAGTGTCCAAGTGCCATGTCAGTTCAGTTGGGACTTTGGGGCACACGAGGCTATAAATAAATGGAGGAGAGATAGGGAGAGGCGACCTGTTGCCAAGTTGGCTCTGCTCGCTCCTTTCCTCAGGAGGCGTTTGAGAGACAAAATAGCTTTTAATTGGAACATGGGCGGAGTGTGTGTGTGTGGGAGGGGGGTGTCAATGCTCTCTTACCGGGAGATCTGGTTTGATACAATAGGAAACCGCAAAGCAAGAAGAATGGGATTATAATGTTCATTTAAAAATGGTATATATGGGTGGGGAAAAGCAAGGACGAGATACAAACCCACCTTCTGTCAAGTACTTCATTCCTAAGTTATTTAACACGTTTTTATCCTGCTCGTCAGATTAAAAAAAATTAAATTAAATAAAGGCTAGCAGAGTAGCTGGAAGATCACTACAACTCCCATGTGGCTGGCTTAGCTGATGGCAGTTGTAGTCCAAGACATCTGGAGGGAACCAGGTGGGGTAAAGGCTGTTGAAGAGCCACAAGGAGGCCCCAGCAGGCCTGGCCTGTAACCTGGAATAAGATCACAGAGAACTGCCTTGGTGGATTGGGCCAATGGCCTATCTAGTCCAGCATCCTGTTCTGATAGCAGCAGACCAGATGCCCCCTATAGGAAGCCCGCAAGCAGGATCCGACTGCAAGGATCCTCTCTCAACTTGCCATTCCCGCCAACCGGCATTAAGAGGCATACTGCCTCCAATAGCAGAGGTAAAAATATGTCTCAGAATCCTTTACCACAGGCCAGGGTTCCTCAGGCTGACCTCTAGGCGGAATGTCAAAAAGGCCCTCTTTTAATTTTTTTAAAAAATATTTAAAATTAAATAACAGTCATTATTGGTGCCATTCCATGCCACATCCACACCAGACATTTAAAGTGCTACAATACTTTAAAAAGTCAGGGCGTCCCCCAAAGAATCCTGGGAGCTGTCGTTTGTAAAAGGTGCTGAGAGTTGTTAGGAGTAGTTATTCCGCTCCCCAGAGCTACTATTCCCCAGAGTTCCCTAGGAAGAGCAATTGATGCTAGGGAGGGAGCTGGGTATGTTTAGCCTGGAAAAGAGGAGACTGAAAGGAGACATGAGAGCCATCTTAAAATATCTAAGGGGTTCACACCTGGAAGATGGAGCAAGCTTGTTCTCTGCTGCTCCAGAGGGCAGGATCCAAATCAATGGATTCAAGTTAAAGGAAAGGAGTTTCACACTAGACATCAGGAAGAACTTTCTGGCAGCAAGAGCTGTTTGACAGTGGAACCGACTGCCTTGGAAGGTGGTGGACCAGGCTTCCTCAACCTCGGCCCTCCAGCTGTTTTGAAACTACAATTCCCATCATCCCTGATCACTGGTCCTGCTAGCTAGGGATCATGGGAGTTGTAGGCCAAAAACATCTGGGAGACTGAGTTTGAGAAAGCCTGCGGTGGACTCTTGGGCCCCTTCTAACTCTACAATTCTCCAGTTCTATTACTGTTAAACCATTCTGGGTTTAATGTAGATCTGGGGAGGGGAATAAGGGTCTCCTAACAATTCTCAGCACCCTTAACAAACTACAGCTCCCAGAATTCTTTGGGGGAAGGTGTGACTTCGTGTATCACTCAGTCCCAGCAGAGCTAAGCAAATCTGCTGCAGATTTTAAACAGTGAAGAGGTGAAAAGATTCCTGATTAATGGAAGGCAGGGGATATGCAGAGGGGCTTGTCTGTCTGGCAGTGGCACAAAGGGGGCAGCCCATCTCCTCAATCTGGGGCCACAGTGTGAAGCATGGCCAGCCCATTCCAAACCACGAGGGCTAAGCATCACCCCCAGCGAGTCTAGGGTGCACCATACGCACAGCAGCCTCTGGCAGGGCGACCTCCACAGAGGCTCCTTCTGTTCTGTTGATGTATTCCCCCCCCCTTCTTACCTGGCTTGACGGCGCTTAGCACAGCCCGGTTTGACTTCAGCACAGCTTCGTAGATCGCCCGCTGGTCAGGGGTGAACTTCCCATTTGCTGGAAACGTGCAGGTGATGTCTGAGCCATAGCAATAGTACTCGCCTCCCATGTCAAAGAGGCTGTAGGGAAGAGAGAAATTTAGCACCTGGGAGAAAAGGGGATTCAGGACAGGAAGGCTCCCTCCCCTCTAAGCTCAACTTGGACCTGGGTTCAAGGCTCAGCAGCACCTGAAAGTTAATCTCCAGGTACTAGGCGATCTGCCCCATCATCAAAATCATTTATTTTTAAAATAAGATTTCTACATCGCTTGATTGTTAAAAAAAACTTCTCAAAGTAGTTTGCAAAAAAGATAAAATTAACAAATTATCAATCAGAAAGGCTTGGCTACACAATAATGTTTTGAGCAGGCGCCAAAAAAGTTACATTGAAGGCGCCTGCCTGATATCAATAGGCAGGGAGTTCCAAAGTGTAGGGGCTGCCACACTGAACAATCAAGTTCATGCAAATGCAGAACGAGGGCTATGTGACACCTGCAATAGTGTCAGTTCTGCCAGTTTTACTCATCCCTCCGCCTAAGCGACTTCCCAGGAAGGGTGTAAGAATAAAATGGGAGAAGGAGCCTGGTCAGTCACCCTGAACTCCTTGGAGGAACCCGCTGCAGAAATCGAAGGAAGACAGACAATCTGATTCCTAACAGCAACATAAAACAAAGGGCTGGGCCGATGACACGAAAGGTCTGATTGCAGCTCAGTGGCAGAGAATCTGCTTTACATGCAGAAGGTCACAGGTTCAATTCCCAGCATCTGCAGGAACAGATGGGAATGACCCCCATTTGAAATCCCAGAAAGTTGCTGCCAGTCAGTGTAGACAATACTGAGCTACATGGACCAGCCGTTGGATTCAGCATTAGACGGTTTCCCATATTCCCCGTAGCAGACCCTGCAATGCACCCGGATGCCAGCTCTGTCCCCATATCCACTATTACAGGCCCCCAACAACACCAGAGGCTCATTTGCCTGCTCATCCCCCAAGGTGAGATCTGCTACCACCGGCTGCCTGCCTGCAACCAACAGACCAGACTGAAGGGATACAAATCTGGCATCTTAAAGTCACTGTGTGCCGGCCTTTGGGAGGATGGCTCAGGTGGACTCTGTTGACAGCTCAGAGCAGGCATAGGCAAACTCCGGCCCTCCAGATGTTTGGGACTACAATTCCCATCATCCCTAGCTAACAGGACCAGTGGTCAGGGATGATGGGAATTGTAGTCCCAAACATCTGGAAAGCCAGAGTTTGCCTATGCCTGGCTTAGAGTCTCTTAAATCCAGACTGAAATGGAAACAGGGTTCCCTTCCTATTATACGTCAGGAGCTAAATTTGTTTGAACAACAGCAGGGCTATTGGTGACTTCAGATGAGAACAGTGACTTATTCTCTTCTCCTCTCATAGGAGGAGAGCTGTTCCAACAGTGGAATGGACTCCCTGAGAAAGTGGTGAACTGCTTATATCCAAGCAGAGGCTGGATGGCCATCTGCCAGGGATCCTTGAGCTGTGATTCCTGGATTGCAGGGGGTTGGGATAGATGACCCTTGGGGATCCCATCCAACTCTACGGCTCTATGATTCTATGAGGCCAGCTGGTGATCTTGTATCAAACATATTTCTTAAGACTCCCAGGACCGGCCAGGCCTATCCTCCTTCCTCCCTGGGTCTCTTGTGCCTGACTCCCAGCACCAGGTGGGGACACGTCGTTCCCAGTGTGCTGATCAAACAAGCGGCGATTAAAAGAAGCAGGGCAAAAGCCAGCCTTTGGAGTATGGACTTTTACTGTAAATAGCGTCACACCCACCACATGTACAGGAAAGGTCAGTGAGCCTCCCGTTTTGTCTCAGTGAGTAAGGCAGCCGGCATCGGACAGCACATGGAGCAGCTGATTGCATTTTCTTAAAACAGTGCACAAGCTCTCCTTGTCCGCAGAGGACGACTTCAATGCTGTTGCTTAACTTTGCCAGCTAAGGAAGGATCCACATGGCCCAGGCCCTGGGGAGCAATGTCAAGACTGGACTTGCAATGGCCCACCTTTCCCACAGACGGTCCAAAGTGGGACCCAGGTGCCGGGGGATGCAGCCCCCACAAGCTAAGGATACTTCCTGCTGGTTGGGGAAGTTGTACTGGCTTTTAAACACAAGCCAGCTTTCCAACAGCTTACAGTCAACCCCTGAGAGGCCTGGCTGATGTGCAGAGGCAGCTGTGTTTCCTGCACTGGAGTGGGTTGGACTAGTTGTCCCTTTTAGTCCCTTCCAATTACATTTCAGTGCTTCTATGGTTCTAGCTCCTTGGGTGCTGACCAAGTCAGCCAGCCCCCCAGGATCAGCCACTCCTGAACTGGGAAGTACAGTGGTAGCTCGGGTTACAGCGCTTCAGGTTACAGACTCCGCTAACCCAGAAATATTACCTCAGGTTAAGAAATTTGCTTCAGGATGAGAACAGAAATTGCGCAGCAGTAGTGCGGCGGCAGCAGGAGGCCCCATTAGCTAAAGTGGTACCTCGGGTTAAGAACAGTTTCAGGTTAAGAACGGACCTCCAGAACGAAGTAAGTTCTTAACCTGAGGTACCACTGTAATTACAAGTGCCTGCAAAGCCAAAGGACGCGCGATGGGAGGAGTCTGACTGCTGCATCTCTGCACGAGACAGTTCTGAACCGGCTTCAGTTCAGTCAGACTCCGCTGGGGGTAGATCACTCTGGGCACGGCCTCTGCAGCTGCTCCCAGCGCAGAGGCACAGAGAGGTTTCCTGCTTTCAGGTGGTTGTCTCGCTGCCTGCTCCTTCCAGTGAGAAGGTGCACCCACGTTACTGAAGACACAGCTGGTGATGCCAAGCCTCTGCTGCAAGAGTCCTGATCGGAGCAGGATCTGGATCTCCCTCAAGGGAAGCATGTGGAGGAACAGCTGGGGTCAGGCAAGGCCGAGCCTGGACTGTCAGGCCCTACAGCATTCCAGCTGCCACCATCTCTGACAGAGAGCCCAGGCTCAGAGCCTTGGAAGCCTGAGAGAGTGCCAGAAGACAAAGGAACATAAGGACATAAGAAGAGCCTGCTGGATCAGGCCAGTGGCCCATCTGGTCCAGCATCCTGTTCTTATAGTGGCCAACCAGATCCCTCTGGGAAACTGGCAAGCAGGACCTGAGCACAAGGGCGCTCTCCCCACCTGTGGTTTGCAGCAGCTGGTACTCAGAAGCATTGCTGCCTCCCACTGATAAGCAGAGCTTAGCCATTATGACTAGCAGCCATTGAAAGCCTCCTCCTCTAGGAATCTCTTTCAAAGCCATCCAGGCTGGTAGCCATCACAGCCTCCTGTGTAAGGGAGTTCTGCAGGTTAACTATGTGCTTCATGAAGAAGGGCTTTCCTTTATTTGTCCTGAATCTTCTAGCATTCAGCTTTCATGTCCCCTGAGTTCCCATGTTATGAAAGAGGGAGGAAAACTTTTCCCCAGCCACTTTGCAACCTTTCCTCATGTTCCCTGATGGAACAAATTTATTACAGTGGTACCTCGGGTTACATACGCTTCAGGTTACATACGCTTCAGGTTACAGACTCCGCTAACCCAGAAATAGTGCTTCAGGTTAAGAACTTTGCTTCAGGATGAGAACAGAAATCGTGCTCTGGCGGCGCGGCAGCAGCAGGAGGCCCCATTAGCTAAAGTGGTGCTTCAGGTTAAGAACAGTTTCAGGTTAAGTAAGGACCTCCGGAACGAATTAAGTACTGAACCTGAGGTACCACTGTATCTGCTTCTCCACGATGTAGGCCCAGAACCAGTATTTTTAAACCACAAGAACTGAAATTAGGAAGGACTTCCAAGAGCTGCCCTCACTTGCAAACTGATAGACTCTCCTTGGTTTTTGAACAGAGGGTGGATGATCACTTATCGGCGATGCCGTAACAGTGGGCTGTGAGTGGGTTGAATTACACGACCTTCTAGTTCTTATGACTCCAAAAACTAGATCCAGGGGAAAGGTGAGACAATATCACATTTTTGTCTGGATTTCATACATTTAAGTCACCAATGTCAAGCAAATAAATGTACTGACTCACACAGCTGCAGTATTCTTTTACCCTACTAATCAGCAGAAATGGTTCCCAGAGGGGAAAAGTCATGACACAAAAGGAAAAATAGATGGGTAGGGAGAAAAAAAATAAGCTAACTCTGGCACCTAAAGTTCCTAAAGTTAAGCAGTAGTTCTTACAATGACCACTGGAATGGAAATAGCACAGACTCTGGCTGTGTGGGAGAGGGGGGGGGGCTGGGGGCTCTTTGACTGTCCTCTGCTCAGTTTACAGAATCAGGCCCTGCAGGCACAGTCAAAATTCTGTTCCCTGTCTGCATTCTTTTGCTGCTCCAAGGCCACTGGTAGTTAATTTTTAATACCGGGGAAGTAGGCAAAGCTCTGGGAAGCCGTTTTACTGGCCCAGGGAGACATGCAATGCTGAAGTCTGAGTCAGGCCATCAGAGCACCCTGTGCTGTACGGCCGCCTCTGACTCACAGCCCCTCTCCAAGGTCTCGGGAGACAGCCGTGATCTTTGCTCGGCAATCTACTTTTTCCCTTTCATCCACACAAGAGTCATCCCAGGGCGTTAGAAGTTTATAAAATTATGCCTGGCATGGACAAAGCGGGTAGAGAACATTTTAGTGCAGTGGTACCTCGGGTTAAGAACTTAATTCGTTCCGAAGGTCCATTCTTAACCTGAAACTGTTCTTAACCTGAAGCACCACTTTAGCTAATGGGGCCTCCCACTGCTGACGCTGCACCGCAGCTGAGCAATTTCTGTTCTCATCCTGAAGCAAAGTTCTTAACCCGAGGTACTATTTCTGGATTAGTGGAGTCTGTAACCTGAAGCATCTGTAACCTGAAGCATCTGTAACCCGAGGTACCACTGTAGTAAGGACAGTAAGAAGCAACAGGACAGAGGTTTAGTTTTTCTCCCTCTCTCCTAATACTAGAACTGGCGGGCATCCAACAAAGCTGAGATGTGGGGAAATTCAGGAAAGATAAAAGAAAGTACTTCCTTCCTGCAGTGCATTGCTAAACTATGGAACTCACTTCCACAGGAGGGCGTGAGGGCCA